TGGAGATGCGAGCGGCGACGGTGCGACCTTCTTTGGGGCGGCCCTCATGCTCCCAGCTGTAAAATAAATTTATTTTTGAAGGGGCTCCCGTGGAGGGGACACGCGCCCAGAGGAGGCCAAAGATATGAGTAGGGAGTGTGTTTGGATGTATTTGTTGTTTCCTGCGGGCACGAACTGCTGTGTTTTCTGCGGGGCCGCGTTGGGTGGTGGTGGGTGCAGTTCTGCTGTTCTGCAGCAACTCGCGCCGCTGCTGCCTTCAACGCGGGGGTGTGCGGCAGGGGTGGTCCCCACAGACGGCTGCTTCGCGAGTTTCCAACGAGCCCGGCACTCGTAAAATACCCTGATGTGGCATTATTTTCATTTTTATTTTTTTGTGTATTCCAAACGTGCCGTTCTTCGATTTAGAATGGTGGGCAAAATGGGCCGAAGCGCTTGTTTCTCTTGCGTTTTCTATTCTACAGGCAAAGGGGGGGGGGTGGCGCATGGACCCACGAGAAGGTTTTATTTTGTTTTTTACATTTCATTAGCGTTTATTTTTTTTTCTGTGTGCTTTCGCGTGTTGTGTTTTGAGCTTCGTTTGCGCTCTGTGCGCCAAGTTGCGGCGAGGGGCGCTTCTCTCTTGGTGCTTGCGGCGCTGCTCTTTTGTCTTCGGCGGGTCACGCTGCTTTTTTGTATTTTGCTCCGTTTTGTTTTTTTTTGTTTTTGTTTGTGCACTGCTCGCTGGGTGCCGGCGGAGGTGGAGGAGGGCATCTCCGTGCGGGCGATCGGTGGGCGGGCGGATGCCGCGGAGCTCTGCCCGTGGCGAATCGCTGCGAGGCAAGGTGCGCCAACGCCGCTGCCGCAGTGGGCCGTGGCGGGCCGGTTTTGGAGGGGCGGCAGCAGCTGTTTTTATGGCTGCAGCGGAGTGGGCCAACAACTTCTTCGTGTAGGCCAACACTGGCGGTGCGAGTCGCGCTCTCTTCGGCACCGGGGGCTTGCCGTCGCGGAGCCGCTCCTCTGTGGGTGTCACGGCTTTTGTGGCGCTTTTCCCTGCCTTTTGGCCCACCACGCTGCGAAACTGCCGTGGCACGAGCGGGGCCCATGGCGTCCGCCTGCATCTGGCACCGGGTCGCCGCTTAATTCGGTGGGCCGCGATTCCGTTGCGTGCATGGGGGCGGAAGCGAGACACCCTGCGCGGGTTATGCGCTGCCCCGCCAACGCGTTCCGCACCGCGCGGGGCCTGAATGATGACAGACGCCCTCTGCCTCCTCACCGCCCCGCGCACAGACCCTCTCACAGTGCCAGTTCCGGCGCTTAGCCGTCGCTGGGCCGTGTTGCGACACATGCTTCGACGAGGACCCCAGCCGGGGGCCGTGCGCCGGCTGGCTCCTGCACCTTCCCAACCGAAGTCGCTCCCCATTTGCCTCTTCCTG